ACCTATCCCAAATAAATTAGCTGGCTATGCTAATCTTTGTGAATACCTAAGTACTATACAGGGTGTCCCGTAAAGTGCAGTGTTCCGCAAAAGGTGTACCGCGGCACACATTGTACTGTGATCATTAGATGGTGTTGGATCATTGGAGGGTTCAAAATAAGGTTATCTTATCTTATCTTATAAACTTTTTTTTGGTAAATAAGGGACAGTCTATTAAAGGTAATTACTTAAAAATTGATTTTTCATTTGTGGGTGTACTTCCAAAAAATTTAGTTTTTCCTAGATGTACCTTGACCTTGAACACAAAAAGTTTGCGGAACATTGGACTAACGGATGGCCATCTATACAAAAAAATTTTTTTGGAAAAGTATCACCATTTCAGATACGTTTTTTTTTTCATGTTTATTTTCAATTCTCAATTTTGAGCCTTTCTTTTTCTTATTCATGAAATCTTGAAAAATATTTTCCCATTTATACACAGAGCAACGAGAGATCAAAATTGGGGATTTAAACAAAATTAAAAAAATCTTATCTCAGAATTGGTGATACTTTTACCACAGTAGATAAATCAATATACATACTGTGTTTCTACTATAGTATTTTTTTTATACATAAGTATATATATATATAGATGGTCATAGTATCATCTCTGTAAGTTTGATACGCTCTTAACAAAGTCGCGGGCAAAAGCTATGTCATCACTATATATTATAAAACAAATTTGCTTTCCTGTCCGTCTGTCCCTAATGCTTAGATCTTTAAAACTACGCAACGATAGATTGATTCAAGAGGAAGGTTTATTGATACTTGCAACCGCGCAAAGCCGGGCTGGGTCGCACCATCTTACTTTAACTTTGACAAACGTCAAAAATCTGTCAAACTCCATACTAAAAGCACCGGTTATGCTATAGCTACCGTTAAAGTTAGGTGGTGCAACTCAGCCTAAGCTAAGTTTATTTTAAAGTTACTTTTTTAACTTATAACAAAGTGTTTGCAAGACTAATTACAAATGTAACAGTTTTCTTATAAGAGCTAGTAATACGAGTAAGTATAATGATGCTTACAGTGATATCGACATATTTCATTTGAAGTTGGCGCAGTTTAGTCGCCTATTGAAGGGTTTATAGATTTCAAACTTTAATATTATAAAGATTTTTTTTTAATTCACTTAAGAATGTAAGGTTTGGTTGTGCATTTTTTTTATTTTGTGATTATAAATTGCTCGCACTCTGCATAACTTTCGATTAACTTGTAAAGTTTATCTGTGGAAACTGATTAGGCTACTGTACTGTTTTTGTTTTTTAAGTTCACATGTATCAATTCATGCTGTTTGTTTCCTTAATAAAGAAAAAATAAGAATAAAAAGTTGACCAAATGTACTTACCTGTATTTCCTTGGTTCTCTTGAAGTACTAATACAAATATCACTATACTTATTGATTGGTTCAATTACAATTAAACTAAAGCACGCGTCGTATCGACCGCACAGTGGGGCAAGGACTGTGGATTACAAGAATCGAAACTTGCTGATTGTGGATCTTGGACGGACAGAGGTGCGCAACCATTGGGCGCGTTTTTAATCCGTAATCTATATTTAATTTTATAAAAGCTAAGGCTGGTTTTAGTGTCACGCGGACTGTCAGTGCGGATCGCTCCGCACAGCCGATTTGTATGAACTGCTAGGGAGCGGAGCGGTTCCTCCGGACCGCATTACTCTAAAACGCTCCCTAGAAGTTCATACAGATTGGCCGTGCGGAGCGGGTCCGCACCGGACTACAAGTGCTAGGAGTCTCAAATTTTGCATGGGGGTTCCTTTTAGAACGTAAGTGCTCACTAAGAACGGATTGGAAACTCCACCCCTAAGAGGGTAAAACAGGATCTACGCGTATGAAGTCGCGGGCGTCCGCTAGTCTATATTATAAAGAGGAAAGATTCGATTGTTTGTTGGTATTGAATAGGCTCCGAAACTACTGGACTGGAAAAATCTTTCACCATCAGAATAATACGTTATTTCTGATGAACATAGGTGAAGTTCACTGGGTCAACTAGCTATAAATATTATGAAAGTTATCTGTCTATCTTTATCTTCAAACCACTGAACTGATTTACTCGTAGATGGAAATTGATAAGAGAAAGTTTGAGACCCAGGGAAAACCGGGTAATTTTAAATAATTATCATGGGCTACTACGTCGAGTCTTTCTGTGACACACCAATTTTTTGTCGTAAACGCCTTCATCATCGTCGTCATCTCAGCCACAGGACGTCCACTGCTGAACTTAGGCCTCCCCAATGATTTCCACATCGCCCGGTTGGTAGCGGCCTATAAACGACTTACTATTTTTTATTTATTAAGGAAACCAAACGATTCCTAAACCAATATTGATCCACTAAACGTAAAATAAACTGTGTAGATTCAATTACAGGTAGCCACGACTTCAAAATATATGCAATATGAATAAATATTTGTAATAAAGAGGACAATATCATACATAAAACTAAAATATTGACCGACACACTTGTAAGATGTTCTTATACCTAATAAGAGAACAAAAAATATTTGTCGGGTTTTCCTCAACGAAGTATACCTGAGTAGGAGATGGCAGGTAACAAACGCCCGTATTCACAAACATTACTATGAGGTCTCACAGTGCATGGACGCACAGGGTGACACACGAACCAATAACAGTCTGTAGTTTAGGACTCTTCCACCTTATTACAAAAAGTTAAACTCGCGTTGATCACTAGTTTAAAGTTTAAATTGACATTTAGTATGGAAATGTCATTTTAAACTAGTATTCATCGTGCGTATTTATTAAGATACGTTTACCCCCTTATATGAAAAGTTACACCTAGAATGAACTCTGAGTTAAAATGACATAATCCATACTTAATGACAACTTAAGCCAGAGTTCAACTATGGCGTAATTTTTATTAATAAGGCCCTTACAATATAATAAAAGGTTGCACTCCCCTGCCCCCGATGTACACGTACGTCCTGACGACGCATTTTTATTGCAATCGCTTTCGAGGGCATAGTACAACCTTTTTGTTATTTTATTATTGACAGCGGCCGCCCGCGACTTCGTTCGCGTGGACCCCGTTCAACCCCTTTAGGGGTGATGTTTCGGGATTTTTCTCGCCGTAAAAACCATCCTTGGACCTTGGACTTCAACGAACAATTAAAAAAAAGAATTGGTAAAATTGATCGTGCCGTGTGCTGGTGACGGCAGAGTAGAATACATTTGTCACCAACCCCTACTCTTCCCGCGGGTGTCGTAAGAGGCGACTTAGGGACTACACATCAAACAGAGAACGGGCAGCAGCGCTCTCTGAAAAACATCAATCTTTTAAACTGCGATCTCCAACCCGCCTGCCAAGCGTGGGGATTATGGCAAAACCCTCCACTAAAGTGGAGGAGGCTCATAGTCCAGCAGTGGACTGTAAAGGGCTGTTGATGATGAAAATTGATCCAGGCGTTGTTGAGTTATGCGCTTACCAATACATTTTGCGATTCATTTTTATGGCATAGAAGATTGAAACGCAAGGGCGCAGGTTCAGTGCCCGGTTAGGACAGTTCGGACTATTCAGCTCTACTTGGAAATAGCTTTTGCCCTGACTTTATCTAGATTTCGATAATAGTAGCCGTAGCCAGGATCTACAGCTTGACCGCCAATAACCCAACCAGTGAAGGTCAAGTTTGTCCCGGGCGAGAGGTAAACTGTCATTGGACCCGCGACAACATTGATCAAGGCCCCGGGTTCGATCCGCGGCATCTACACAACTTTGGGTTATTTATTATCACCATACTATATTTTATGCTTCTGACGTACCTGATGTTAACATGATTTAAAGTTTCAACAAAGTTTGTCTAATACAAATACAAAATATAAAAAAATATTTATTCAGTATCAAGTTACATTTATAACAGGGTTTCGATTGGGGTTTTCTTTTAAGTAAAAATAGATACTTGTGTTAGTTAATATTAATAGTTTTCCATGAAGGACTTGACTTTCATTCATTCATCTCTTTAACTAATATGTAGACACTACTTAGATATTAAACTTGCCGAGTGTAGCTGCCGTTCTAGCTGGAGCAGTCGCTTACTCGGCAAGCAGAAGGTCTTGAGTTCGATTCCCACCTGAACCAATCGAGTTTTTCAAGTTTTAAGTACACAGTTAACCTCAGTAACTTTGTAGGTAAGTTTTGTTCAGCAAAAATACTTATAATAGTTCTTCTGAAAGGCAAAGCTGTGGAATGAAACTAATGTAGTACCGATACTTTATACAAAAGTACTTATAAAGTAAAATGTATTGAATTTAAACCGTACCTACTTTTTTCAAAGCAAATCCCTTTTGGAAAGCTTTAGAACAAATATAGCATTCGTTTTAAAGGTTACATGTCAGTACAATCGTATGAATAATTAAGTTAAATTTAATTTAAATACATTAATACATCGTGCTAAGTAATGAACGTAATGAAGGTGGGTCAAGCGACGCGCGGAGGGGTCAGCCAATGATGGGTGCCTGTGAATTTTTATTGGTTTAATGTTTTAGTAAACATTTTAAAATAACTTTACATTTTGTGGCTTAACTTGAAAATAATTTACCTATCTACAACATTTTCTAACCAAAACTTATGACACTTTGGTTAAATTTAAAAGAAAACATACTCAAACAAAATCATGAAAAACTTGACCTCTTTGTTGTTGGGTAAAAAGTAGAAAATAAAACCAAAGACCAAAAGTTCGTTAGTACTTCTACCCTCCAAGAGATGGCGCTGCTTCTTTTTGTTTCAGATTTATTTACATACAACTAAATATAAATTTATTCCCTTCCATGTACTAAAATGAATATTGTATTTTTTTTATCTCCTTTGTTATTAATCATTTGAACAATGGCAGTGATTTCTTATGCGCATAAAATGTCACAACTCAATTGACTTCTCAATGAAATCAAAATGGCATAATTTTGTCAGATGACGCTCGATAGTGACATGCACCATGTCAGACGGTTAAATTCTCAACAATCATTAATAAATTAACAAAAATTAATTTTTATCACAATGTCTCGGAGAGTACTTTGGCCAAATTCTGCGATATTCTTACGGTGCACGAAGGCTACCAAGGCCAGAGGTTTTTTACGACAAAGCACTTCAAGAAGGTCACCCATTGCTTGTTCGATCTAGATGGGACCGTACTCGGTAGGTAAAAGCATGTACCAGCTATCATCATAGGTCATTCAGCCTCCAGTACAGGAGCACGACCCTCTAGTTTACCAGAGGCAAATGGAGGATTTGGCCGGCACTCCCCACGCTGGCTAGACGGGTTGGGGAGGCTAAGGCGGGTACAATAAATACGGGACTATTCCCACCTCTCGTTCCCACCACTGCAACTCCTGTGTAGCCTGGATCTACAGCTTGACCGCCAATAACCCAACCAGTGAAGGTCAAGTTTGTCACGGGGGAAAGTTATACTGTCATTGGACCCGCAACGAAATTAATCAGAAGAACATAGGAGTTCGAAATTAAGGTTCGATAGTCGAATTAAGAGCGGGTACAAGCTAGGTATCATATTACAGATATTTAAGCAGACGGTTCCACGCACGCACTTAGCTGTGTGGTTCCATAATATTAGAATCCGACCGCCATAGTCTTCCTGTGGTGACTAAGAGACAATATGCGAACACCAGGCTTCCTTAACCCGCATCGGTAAATTAGAGAGTCACATGCCCGTTTTCACCATCAATCCCTAATTTTTAAGTGACCCCTATAGTAACAAATAACAGGAATTGTGTTTACATAGGGGTCACTTAAAAATTAGGGATTGATGGTGAAAATGGGCAACAGTCTCATAAAAGATTAGATGATCTGTGACGATGCCTACTTTGAACTAAGTTCAAACTCTTATGTTCTTCTGATTAATTTCATTGCGGATCCAATGACAGTCTAACTTTCTCCGGGACAAACTGGACTGGTTGTGTTATTGGCGGTCAACCTGTAGATCTTGGCTACACAGGAGTTACAGCGGTGGGAACGAGAGGTGGGCATAGTCTTTTCCTCTAGTAGATTGGAGACAATCACACGTCTCGTAAGATACTTAGAAAACTAATGCCTGTTTTCACCATCAATCCCTAATTTTTAAGTGACCCTATGGTTACACATAAGAGGATTTTTGTTTTCATAAAGGTCACTTAAAAATTAGGGATTGATGGTGAAAATAGACTGACTGTACCTAATATTGCTAAGTTCCGATCAATTTTGCACTTGATTGCAATTAATACATAAAAAGTACGACAACGACCGAATTCAAACGTTTAATGTAGGTCTTTGTTGCACTGTGCCTTAAACTTAAGTAAGTACGAGTAGTTGGTACTGCATAAATAAATAATTTTTGAATAAAAATGTGTCCTTTCAGACTCAGAAATCATGTATCACAAAATGATAAAACAAATATGCGAAAAATATGGAAGGAAATACACAAAGGAGCTTCGCATCAGGGTAAATTATACTAATTTAGCTTTCGTTGTTATCATTGTCTTACTCTGTAATAAATATTTATCAGAAAACCAACGAATAGTGAAGTATACGGAAGACGATGTATTTACAAAAAAAAGTATTTAAGTATGTTTATATCCGTTGTCTAGTACCCATAGTACAAGCTTTGCTTAGTTTGGGACTAGAAGCGTAGTGTAAAATGTCCAAGGATATTTATTTATTTATTATTATTTACGTAGTTTGAAGATTGCTCCTGCTCTATGAATCGTCAAGGATTTGCCACACTGCATGCGATCTGCGGTCAGGTCCAAGTGAACGCAGCCTGCATCATTTTATGAAACATTGTCGGTCAGGGCGATCAGTCAGCGGTCCGGGCAAGACAATCTGCCTGCTATTGAAGGATTTAATCCAGCGCCAGCAGAATTCGAACCCGCGTTCCTCAGCTATCTTAGCTTATCACGGTTAAAGACATTTATTTTCTCAAAAAATTTTACAAAATCCACTTATAGAGAAAACACAAATACAATTCATTACAATTAAATACATTATTACCAACTAGCATTTTAAATGTGGGTATGTTTGAAAACATTCAAACATTGAGTTGTTCGACGCTGCGCGCTAAGCGTATTGCGACTTGCGACTACTTTTAGTGGGGATTTTTATTATTTTTATTATTATTATGATGATGATGAATCATTATTATTTATGTCATACTCTACAGATGTACGGAGTTACGGACCGGGAGATCTGCCTGACGGTGGTGAAAGAACTCAAGATGCCGATCTCAGCCGACGAGTTTGAGATGCAACTCGGAGACCTCGCCAAGAAGGTCCTGCCGGCAGCCCCGTTACAAAAAGGTTACATAGGGTATTTATATGCAAAGTCGCAATAATGAAAACGGATTCCTGTTTATACATTCCGTATCCTCACTTCTTTTTCATCTTTTCATATTTTGTTTTTTAATACTAACATTGCCATCTAATATCTTCAGCTAACCTTTTAACGGTCGACGGGGATCAAACTAAAGTAAAATGTATGTAATTGAAGGGAACGTTTCTGAGTGACGCTGATCGCTCGGCGCCGACGCTCTATACATTTCGGCTATCAGCGCTGATGGTCAGCGTGCGTCAGCGTGATTCTAAAACCAGCCTTACTCTTAGGTTGTCGCAGACTGTAGCATTTCTGAAGCCTCGAATCAGCAGTCCTATGCTGACGCTGTTAGGATAATGTCGCCTTTTGGTGGCAAATAAAGAATTTTATATTTTACTAATGGTTTATCAATTCACTCTGCTCTTCAAATTAAGATTTTTCTATTCTATCCTATTCTGAAATTAAACTTCAAACTTCGCCTATATGCCGCGTCCTATGACTGTTTGACTTTCCCCCGGGACAAATGTGACCTTCACTGGTTGGGTTTTTATTCGCAGTCAAGCTGTAGATCCTGGCTACACAAGAGTTGCAGTGGTGGGAATAGTCCCGTCTATCTTATTCTAACAATGATTTATCAATCCAGGAGCAGAGCGCCTGCTGACGCACCTGCACGACTACAAGATCCCCATGGCTCTGGCCACCAATTCCACGGAGCAAGCGGTCCGGCTCCACGCCACTGCCAGGCCTAGGCTCTTTGGGCTTTTTAACCATAAGGTATTATAGTATTCAATGGAGCAGGGTTTCCCAAACTATGGGTCGCGACCAAGTGGTGGGTCGCGAGCGAACATTGAGTGGGCCCTGCCTGTAGAACGACACACCACCCTACCGATCCAACCGCTAGGCAGCGGGCGAAATTTCCTATACGTGGGTCCCGAGTTTGGGAACTTGTATTGGATAAGTCGAAGCCCAGACAACTTTGGGAACCACTGCTATGGAAAACAATCGACTTCTTCTCAGTTACTCGCTCTTGGCAGAGTGGTTGAGGTCTACCATAGGGAGAGATCGGGAGATCTTGCGGAGAGCTGTAAACGCCTCTACAATCAATGCCTTAAAATGTCGACGCTAGGAATCAAATACAACATTAAAAGCCAAGTTTTTGTAAAGATACCCCAATCCGGCTGGTTATCGTGGGTGGATGAAGTGAAGACTGCCTTCCAATTAGCACGAGAGAAGTTCTTGACCGTGACTATGGACCGAAGATGTAGTGAAGGCAGGTCTCCCATTCGGTAGGCCGACGACCAGCTAAAGATCGTGGGAAGCGTCTAGATGCGGTCAGTTCGTTCGTTTCAGCCGAATGACGTCCACTGCTGGACAAAGGCCTCCTCCAAGGTTTTCCACAATAAACGGTCCTGCGCTGCCCGCATCCAGGCTCTTCCCGCGACTTTCACCAGATCGTCGGTCCACCTAGTAGGAGGGCTGCCCACGCTACGTCTTCCAGCCCGTGTTCGCCACTCGAGAACTTTTCTGCCCCAACGGCCATCGTCTTTACGAGCTATGTGCCCCGCCCACTGCCAATTGATTTTAGTAATTCTGCGATGATGATGCGGACAGTGCAGTCGTAAAAATCCTTGGGGGAGGCTTTTGTCCACCAGTGGATGTCATTTGATTGAAACGAAGTGATCAACCTCCCGAACGACATTCCTAACTCCTCGGCCTTAACCATTGGGTTGTTGTTGCCTTCACATAATAATCTTCTAAATATATGAAAGGAGAAACTGACTGACTGACATATCAACGCACATCCTGAACGGCTAAACGTAGACACTTGAAATTTGGAAAGGACGTAGCTTAGGTACCGTAGAGGTGCACTAAGAAAGGAATTCCCGAAATTCCCACGGGAACAGGCCCCTAAGGGGGTAAAACGGGATCCACGCGTACGAAGTCGCGGGCGACCGCTAGTAATTAATATGTATCAAGTTATTAACCCAATAATTCACTAGGTGTGCGCCAGTGATCCGGACGTGGACCGGGGCAAGCCGCATCCGGATATCTACCTCGTCGCAGCGAACCGCTTCCCGGAAAAACCAAAACCTATACAGGTATACATTATGCAACCATCGCCATGTAATTATTATTACAAGGCTATACATATACAGAGTGTCCCAAAAAGTAGTGTCATGTAATAAAAAAATCAGGCATGTAAGTAAGTTGACTATTCGCGCCACAGTGACCAAAAAAGTGCCTTAGCACAGAAATTTAAAACAATTATAGCTCGAACGCTATCAAAAATCGCGGAACATACATGGGGGTGATTTGGATAGTCCTAGTGATGCCCTACCTCTGGGCTTCGGCTTGACACTACTTTTTGGGACATCCTGTAGATATTTTTTATTACAAACAAAGACATACAACAGTACTGTCCTCTCTCCACTTCTAAATGACCGCCTCAACTTCGATGGTGCTATTTTATTTAGATTTCTTTGTTAGACTTTCTTATGTATGTTAACTTACCCTATTTTTGTATTCTTCAGTGTCTTGTGTTTGAAGATTCAGCATGCGGCGTAGAGGCTGCCACTGCAGCTGGAATGCAGGTAGGTACCAATTTATTTATTTATTTGCTTGTCACGTGGTAAATACAATGTGTACCTTGCACACATGACCTACTTACTATCATAACAAGCTGGCAGACTATTTCTTTGCTCCGCTCCGCCTCGGTGGAAACCGGCCTTAGTCTTCCTTTGGAGGGTAGAAACAATATTTTTTCCACTTCTTTTTTCAGGTGGTAATGATCCCCGATCCCCGTTTGGACCGCGAGCAAACCCGCCACGCAACACTAGTGATACGATCTTTGATGGATTTCCAACCGGAACTTTTTGGATTACCTCCTTTTGATGAGAAACCGGAGAGACGAGAAATGCGGGATGCTTCTCCTACAAAATAATTGTCATTTTTGGAAATATTTCGGGTATATACTGCCATCTATCGGCGAGTAGTCTTATTAATGGACTTGTCAGCGCCATCTGTAGCAGACTTTTTAGGCTGTAATGAAGTAAGTTGTGTAAACTAAAATATAGATGTCGCTTTACGTGAAACAATTTTTTGCATCTTACTATCGTCACTAAACAATATTTAAGCTAAACTTTTCGCGTTTATAAGTTGCCAAATTTTCCTATATTTTTGAGGCATTTATACTTGCTCATTGTTACGCTATTTTGGTGAAAATTACGTCTCACCTCACCAACTACCATGGAGTAGCAGATACATGTTCGAAGAAAATGTATAGATGGCGCTGTATCCCAAATTTTCTTTCAGCATTTTTAGTAACTAATTAAATAAAGTACAAGAATAGACAGTGATACTCTATTTTTATTTCGAGTATTTTGTAAAAAATAATAAATCTTCATAACATCATTATGTGCACCATCCAAGTCTTCATTGTTCATTGTGTATGTTCTTAGGTGTCTTTGTAGTAGGTAGGTGCCTTTTGTATTTCGAGGTTCTATATATTTTTTGCTATAGATTTACCTGAGATTTTAAAATATTTCTTTTTAAATAAATAAAAATGCATCGGCTTTCATGACTATGTTTTATTACCAAACCCATTAAAATTAGCATTACACGACAATTTTAAAACTATTTTAGCTTAACTCTGGAATTTATGTTTATTTACATTTATTACAATATGATTTATTTATACACTATTAACTAATAACCACATCTTTCTTTGGTCTAGTCACAAAATAATCTGCATTTTTAAAGGTTTTTTACTTGAAACTTGTTTTTATAGCACTTATACATGTATAAAAAAATTCTTAAGCTTGTTTATAGCACTTATACATGTCCAAAAATATAAATTTTGTATTTATCACAGCTTAGGGACATAATGTGGGACAATATTGAAAGCAGACAGCATAGAAACTAATTTAGAAAACCATCTATTTATAAAATTGTCTTATTTATTTATTAACTCCCCGCACCCCGCGCGACCGAGACCAAACATTGCTGGGGCGCGGCCGAGTGGATGAAACGATCTATAATGCTATAGAAAGTAACATACAAATAAAATAAAAATCTATTCCTTAGTTTAGTTCAGGTAACTTACTAATATAATTTATACAGAATCATATTATTATTTATGTTCTACAGAAAGGATTCCAGACTAAAGAAAGATGTGGCATCTACTTTTATCTAAAAGGTAACCAATGAACAAAAATATTTGGTTTTGAAACAGACAAAATTGTGACAAGTTTAGTTACAATACACAAACAAAAATGCTTTTTGTAAATGAAAAAGATATGGGTTGAACTTACAAATAAGTGGATAATATCATTCTTTTAAACTACGCGAGTCTGAGGTTATAGGTCTAAAGCCCGGTCCGTGAGCATGTAGAATTTTGTCCAATGACCCCAAGCTACCCATCCTTATCGCTCGCGCGTAATTATATTGCTGTCACGACTGTGCGACGCGCGCCCGCAGTGAGTGTGCGAGCGCGATAGCAACATAATTATGCGCGAGCGATAAAGATGGGTATCTTGGGGTCATTGGACAAAATTCTACGTGCTCGCAGACCAGACTATAGCACATAACTCGGTTAGTGCCTGAGGCATGGGAGGCGGGAGGGTGTTTTTTGTTACGTCAAATCAGAGTAAATACAAATGAGTAGGTCATCTTCATAGAAACACACGGGCGCGGTTTGTATGTGAGCGCGGGGTTGCAGTGTGTGCGTGCGCGCCGCATACGTGTTGGCGCGCTCACATACAAACCGCGCCCGTGCGTTTCTATGAAGATGACCTCATTTGTATTTACTCTGGTCAAATGTCAGCGAGACTTCAGATTTTGTATGTCACATCAAAATCACTCCTGTACCGCTCCCATACCTAAGACAGTGATTGAGTTAAGCGCTAGACATAAATAGTTCAGCTCATATCATAACAGTCTTCAATACAAGTATATTAGTAATTTATGTACTCCACAAGTATGAGTATACTTGAATTTAGAGACTGTGCCAAACTTGTATACAGGGCATAAAAAATACATTTAGAGATTTAAAAAACATTGAGAAATTTTTAACCAAAAAAATATATAAAAAATGTCAGTTTTGGAATTGGATGTCTCTAGTTTCAAAAATATTTATGTACTGACAAAAATAAGGTAAGTAAATTGAGAGCATGGTAAAACTCAACAGTTTTAAGTTATACAATTTTACAGAATCCAATTACAAAATAGTTACGCCCTGTATACACTAGTGTCTATAAAGTTAAATACAGATACATAAGTATGCAATATACCTACATACAGCAAAATTGCTTCGTACGCAATCTCGTATAGTTTTAATAAATTGTGCTGTTTTTAATATACATAATAAAACAAACGTTTTTTTTTAAATTACTTGATAACTTTGGATAAAATAAAACATTTTTGAAGAAAAACATTTCATTTTTAAACGTTTTTACAGGATCAGTCTCATTGGACATTTTTTTTGTTTTTATACAATTTATATATTTTTTTACACAGGCACTTCGCATCCTCGTAGATTTATACTGACTAACAATTTAGTGTTTTTATTGAAATTGATTTTTAGTACCAATTTCACCCGGTTGAGGCGCTAGTGTGTTATTAGATATATTTCACGCAAATCATTGAAAAACTTTAGTGCTAGAAAAAGCAAAGAAGTTCAGAGGAGGCAGTATTCGTCAATCCAGTTACACAAAAATTGTAAATCAGCATCAAATAATTCGTGAGGCCCAAAGTGGCCAAAAAGTTGACAACACAACCTTATTCCAATGAGGGCTATCGTTTTAGCGCTCACCAGTTGGCGCCACTGTAGAGTAAGGTCCTGTCACTTGCTAGTAGCGAAGACAGTGGCGCCAACTGGTGAGCGCTAAAGTGGTAGGAGGACTATCGCATTTGCACTCATCAAGATGGCGCCACTGTAGAGTAAGGTCCTGTCAATCGCCAGGGGTGCCAACTGTTAAGTATAAAAACGATAGCCCTCATTGTGACAAAGACGTGTTGCGGACTTTTTGGCTACTTTGGGTGTCACGAACTATTTGTCGCTGACTGTAAAAGACATTGACATTGACAAGTATCGTGGGGCATACTCAGTTTTACATGTAGAATTTTATTTACTATACGGACTCTTTCAAATAAGAGGTTTTGAGCCAGACAGTCATATGTGTGTGGGAAAATTGTATGACAACTACGTTGGAATAAAAATAACAATTAAAAACAATTTGAGGGGACTCCAAAAAATTCCAGTTTCATATGTCGCTATCCCTCTCAAGCAAAGCGAGATACCAGCATGAGCGACAGTGAATGATAGATAACTTAGTAAACAACGTTTTGGAGCCGTGCTGCTCAAAAGGTGTTATTTGAAAGAGCCCTAGGAATAGGCAAAAAACTAAATAGATTCAGACCATTTCGAGTTAAAACTAGCTTGTATTTAATGCCTAATATGTGATATCATCAGGTCATTCAGTCTCGATTGCAGGAACACGACCCTCTAATTTACCAGCAAATGGAGGATTTGGCATACACTCCAAACGCTGGATAAGAGTTGTAATGAAGTATTTGTGATATAATTTCACACTATCAGATCAAGGCGTTTAATATTCATCATCATCATCTCAGCCACAGGACGTCCACTGCTGAACATAGGCCTCCCCCATGATTTCCATAATGACAGTTTTATATTGAGTATAATTTTTAACGTATTTGTTATATTGTGGTCATTTCAGAACTAAATATCACATAATTGGACTTTTGATTACATAAAAAATAACGTATCAACGATAGAATCGTAATAAACAATTCGTAAATCAATGCCAACTTGAATATAATATTAAAAACAAAATAAATTATATATTTTACATAATATACACTTCTCAGCAAGGTTGACGCGTTTTCGGTGTCTTTCTAAAGCCCGGTCTGTGAGCACGTACAATTTTGTCCAATGACCCCAAGCTACCCATCCTTATCGCTCGCGCGTAATTATGTTGCTGTCGCGACTGTGCGACGGGCGCCCGCAGTGAATGTGCGAGCGCAACAGCAACATAATTATGATGATGGGTAGCTTGGGGTCATTGAACAAAATTCTACGTGCTCACAGACCGGGCTTTAGATCCATATTGCTATTTTTTTTAGATCGAGTTAAATTTTACTGCAAATCCATCGTCAAATGTACACACGTCCACAGTGTTAACTATCCATTTCCGTTTTTGCTCTCGCTCTTATCAAATGGTGATTCTTTGCGATAGAACGAGATGACATGGCCGGCAATGGGCAGTTAAAACTGTTGCCGATAATACATTATTTACCAAAGAAATTCCAAAATACTGTAAACGTGTTTTTTCCGTTTCATACCTAATTATTTAGAGCTTGACGACTTTTGGTGGACGGATTCTAGTCGGTCTTAATAACCTCAATAAATTTTTTGAAGATTTATTTACACGTAAAATGAGGACTTCTGAGTACTATAATTTTATGTTACCTTGTGTATAGCTCATTACTATGATTTTGTCCTTCAAGAGATGTTAGTAATTATCAACCATCAGTTGAGCTATAAGTGTCTAAAATCCATTGGATCAGTAGTCTCGGTTTAGGTATTTTGTACAAAATATTAGAAAAATCATAGAGTTAGTATAGAAAAGAATAATTTAAAATATCATTGGCAAGATTTTTTAAAATTACATTGTCAGGTACCGCCATCTAGCGTTCAGTAGAGTAACTACACCATTGTTTATAGTTCAGTTACTTATTTATAGTTGGCGTTGTTTTGTTAAAACATAAAATAATTGCACTTTTTAACGAATCAAAAAGCAAAAATAAGTACCGCCATCTAGCGTTCAGTTAAGAAAACTATCTACCGTTATTTACAGTTCAGTTATATACAGCAGATGGCGTTGTCAGATTTTGAATCGCGATATTATCCGATGCATGAGTTTCATTTGTTGAAGAAGTCCCAACTTATACGTTGTCTGGGAAAGTAAGAAAACATCTGATTCTCTCACTCATACCAGCATCTTAAGGTGAGCAAGAGAGACGGATAAAGCCTTAGTATTTAAAAGAAAATAAGAAGTTATTTAAAAACCAGTCTTAAGTCTGCCATCTGATCATCTTGGAAATATACATGTATCATATACCTGCTTTTTTTCCGATCTGCGATACTGAATTCAATTTACAATTAACGGAATCGATTTTGACATCCGATTTGGAATTGAGAACAGATTTGTTGCAATCGATTTTGATTGATTTATCTTTTGTATCATTGACGATATTGACGCATCCATTTTCTAAAT